CCCTCCCGCCCCCATGGTGTAAGCCTTAGGCTCACAAAATCTGGATCTGTCCCTGCTAATGGAATAACAATTCCAAAATAATACAACACTTATAACATCCTAGGATGAGAATCGCACATATGCAGTAACAGAGGGATTATTAAGTTTTATTTCTTAATAAAGAGGAAATCTTTTAACTATTGTAAAATGCACATGTTCAGCCTTGCAGATTTCTTAAATGATAAACTACAAACAGCAGATTCCAGTTTTCCTAAATGATAGACCATTCAGAAACTGTAGACAGCTGACTGTTAGCATTAAAAAAAATATGTATAGTCTGAGATCCTACCCTGCCCTCAATGAATTCTTGTGGACTCGTTTCGCTTGTTTGAAAACGGTGAAAGAGGAAGCTTAAAGAGAACTGGAAGATATTAAGAAAGGTTCATAGTATATGCAGTAGTGATCTCTTACTATAAATAATGAGGAAATTCTGGGTATGATCCTGAAACTGTCTTTAACTTCTGGAGGAGATTTGGTGTTTCTAATGACAATCTTTACTCATTTGCTTTATAATTGTTTTCACCAGGAATCTAAACTGAATTTTAAAAACACACAAAAATCAACGCTTTCTCATTTTGTTTCATTACTTTCTCGCCCTCACTTTTAATAAGCAGATGAACACCCAGAAGAACAGAGTGTTATGCCTCAATTCCCCCATAAACCTTAATTGAAAGTTTAATACACTATTTTACTAGCAAGAAGTAAATTAAGTCGTAGCTATAAATGTTTAATACAAAATTACCCAGCAGTTGTAGTAGTAGTAAGCTCAATGAACATTTAACCAAGAATTACCAAATTATTTTAAAAGTCTATTATATGCCTAATCAGGTAATTAGAATTGCTCTTTCAAGTCTTAGCCTCTGCCGTCGAATCAATTCCGACTCACAGTGACCCTGTAGGACAGTAGAACTGCTCCATAGAGTTTCCAAAGCTGTAAATCTTTACGGAAGCAGATTGCCACATCTTCCTCCCAAGGAGTGGCTGGTGGGTTCGAACCACTGACCTTTTGGTTAGCCACCAAGCGCTTTAACTGCATCACCAGGGCTCCTTTTCAAGCCTTAGAATAGCACAAATAATATACTCAGGGCATGGAAATATAAAATTCTTCCTTTTCTATTAATTGAAGGGCCGGGTTTGTGGTTTGAAGGCCACCAACCAAAGTCGTCACTTGAGTGTGCTAATTTTCAGTAGACTCAGAAGAGTCCCTGCAGGAATGTAGGAATGCTATTAATATAATATTTATATTAGTTAGGATTCTTGCTTGAAAAATGACAGGATTCTATCCCAAACTAGTTTAAACCGAAAGGGAATTTATCGGCTTCAGGCATTTGTTTGGCTTTAGGCATGTGTATTATTTCAGATGTGGCTGGAGCCAGGGGCTCAAATGAGACAGTTAACACTCTCTGCCTATTTCCATGTGTTGGCTCTGCTTTCTCTATGTTGGCTTCACTCTCCAGAAGACTGTTCTCATGTGGTGGACCCAGGAGGAATTTTTCTTTTCATAGGAGATATATTTTAGATAATATATTATCAGATAATTATAAAATTTTACAAATGAGGAGGCTACATAGCTAAATCTTTTTCATTTTGCATGTGGGAAAAAAAACAAAAACAAAACCAAGGTGCAGATAAGTAACCTGCTAAATGGCATTCTACAATTTAGAGACAAGAGACTAAATGGTAATATTCCTCGATAACACAGAACATTTTTTTAATCCACCAGTATAGAATATGCTTATGATGGTCCTAATCATTCTCTGAATTTAGATTGCATCCTTAAATGCAGTCAAGAGAAAAAAAAATTTTTTCTTATTGGAAAGTTACCAATATTAAAACAAACAAACAAAACAAAACTCCTTAGACACCATGGAAGGAGTCTCCTGTTCTAAGAACCCAAGTCCTTAGCCCTCTGAGCCTCCTTTAGCCGCCATGGGCTCAAGTAGAGCTAACTACGGGCAGCTATTTCACTCTTTTAGTGAACAATTTTCTCCAGAGATAACAGGCCATATTCTCAATATCCCTTTTGAATAGTCAGCTAAACTTATCAGGTCTTTTGGATTCAAACCAACCAGATGACCGTTCATTATCCTCAGCCACCAATAAAAATGGAAGGACCTTTGGTAAACTATCTTTGTAATTATTTGGTGCTGGGCCTTGTCATCACCAAGAATCATTCCACCTCTGGTATCTTAATACCAGAGTTTAAATGATTTGTCTTTCTAGCACTTGCTTCATTATTTCAACCATTTTCTGATACTTTCAAATTCCTCCAATCCTGTGTTAGTTTGGGTCTGCAGAGAAGCAGATACCCAGATGGGATTAGAGGTTTATTAGGGTGAGAAAAGGTAGGGAGGGCCTTCAGACTGTGATTGCAGGTCAGACCATATGGAAGGAGAGAAAAGTAAGGATTGGGTAGAGAGTCTTAGAGTGCAGAAAAATTCTAAGGAAGAGTCCACCAAACCAACAGGAAGTCTTTGAATCAAAATTGCCAGTTGGAGTTGTCTCACTGGAATGGGCCTAAGTACCTCTACCATGCTCAGTCACTGGCTGGAAGGAGTCTGCAGAAGTGTCGCTTTGGCATTAACATAGTGGTATATTCAGAGGGGTAGTAGCTGGGGACATCAATTATGCTCCTGCAACAGGAAATCTGGTCTTTAGGCTGCATCCATTCTATCTTGAAAGACAGTGACCATCAGACTAACTTCTCACTCTACAGTTAATGGAGATGACTCACAGAGAGACCTGAAAATGCTGATCCTTTTTAGCAAAACTTTTCTCTTATTACCTACTCATCCATATTCTTCGTTGTTCCAGTCCCACTAGTGAGGAAAATGACATAATTGAAGCAGAGTGATACCACTATAAATTTGGTTTCCATCCTTACCTAGGCCCTCTGGGCTGTGTGGTATCCCTCTTTAATTCCCTTTCTGATTGCCCACAATGTTACTACAATCTTTGTTATTCTCAAGTTCTCTCTTCCACTTATCCAAAGTGACATTGCCTATTACTTCTCAGAGAACATAAGGTATTAATTCATCTTTCGATCCTTGCTTGTATTTATATTAGCACTCTTAACTCACCTTCTTTTATCTAGGTTAAGAGCAAAATGTGCTTCTCTGGTTTTCTAACCCCATTCCCTTTCCTAAAACTATCAGTTAATCCCTCTGTACTATATTTAAAATGTCTCTTTATCTGCTGATTCCATCCTTATAACTTTGTAACGTGCTTAAATGTCTCATTTTTAAGAAATTAAACCAAGAAACAGGACCCCCCTCCAGCTCTGCATTCTTTTTTTTCATGACCAAGGGTATCAGAAGGTCACGGTCGCCCACCACCAGGCTTCTGCCTCCCGTTTCTCTGAAACTGACCCGACTTCCTCGTTGCTAATTACAATGGACTGTAAACTGTTAGTTAACTTAGTTCTCTCTCCAGAGGCCTTGGACACTCTCGACCTGGGTTTTTATTATGTGACTAGAAGGCTAACCTTAATTCCAAATTCTTGGAGGCACCTTACTGTCACCACAAACAACCACCTACACATTAAGTTTTATTATTTACATTATTTCGGTGAAAGAAAAATTGCTTCTTTTACAAAAATTCTAGTTTGTTGTATGCAGAATGAAGAGATCACAGGCTTCTGGCTGTCTGTATAGGAGGGAATGGGGAAGGATAATGAATGACACCAACATTTAAAGCTACCTCTACCAGCTTCTCTAGTAAACCGTTTTTTATATGAACCCATTTACCCCTTCCAACACTAATCCTATGAAACAGATGCCATTATTACTCATTTGGAAACCAAAGCTTAGAGGTCTCCCAAACCCTAGCAGTAATAGGTTTTGATCAAGAGTCTACGGTGAAGTTGACTGGGGAAATGTGTTATAAAGACTGATGTGGCAATGATATACAAGGTCGATTGAAAGACGGAAGACAGGTAGTTGAGATGCTTTAAGAGAAAGCTAGGCTTAATGTACCAGGAGTAGGAATAGGGAAAAAAGTGAGAATCAATGACATTATGAAAATTTGAGCAGATTTGGTAATGGCAGGGTAGGAATTACAAGAGAAAGAAGAGGATTCAGAGTTTCCAGCCAGATTAAATTGGGAACCAATGAGAATAGCAGGGAAGTTGGGAAGAACTAGTTTGGTGAAGTGTTACTTACTAAAAATATGCCTTACAAAGAATTACTTACTACTAGTATGCCTGAGGTATTACAAACTGTTATAACAGCAAAGAAATCTAACTGGGGAGATTAGATATATCTCAACTACTACATTATTTATTAATGGAACAAAAATGAAGAGATTTTGAGTATCAAAAATTGAATTACTCACTGAAAGTTCACTGAGTATACATGACAGAATTAAAAGCGAATATAAGTTAGGTGTAATTTAATGTTTCGTTAAGTATTCAGAGACAAAAAAAATTACAAAATCTTATTACTCAAAATATTTTTATTTTTAAAAAGTTTAAATCATATTAAAATTTAAATAATTTCATTGTACAGTACTTAATAATATATTTCAACAAACTGAACAGTAAAACAAACCATTTAAATCAGTTTACTTTACTTTCTAAGCTTAATAAGTACAAACTTTTTTGCATACCCAGGAGGATGCAAAAATCAGCAACAGTGAAACTGGAATATTTAACATAAGATGTTCAACCAAAAGGATAAAACTAAATTACATTTTATCTGGTAGCATCTTACCAGTATGTTTTTAGTAGACAGGAGTTTAAAACAAAATAAAACAAAAAATTCAATCTCATCAAATCCACAATTAACTGAAGGTTTCATTTCACTCAGCTGTGAATAAAATAGGAGTCAATGTTTTCTCCAAGATACCAGTGGTATGAAGTTCAGAAGAAATGATCTGCCCAGTCTGTGCAAAACAGTTATCTTCCGTCGAAAGAAATGAGCTTTTCAGGCTTACTTCTTTTTCATTTGTCTCATAATTTCCAATAAATAAACTTCTCCAGCTAATGTCTTGGTGGTCTAGTTTCCTACATAATTCTGTCTTCCATGATGTCATCACAGAGCCACTTACAGTTATAATCTTTGGAACACTCTATAGTTTCAAAAAGAAGTTTAAAGTCCTCAGGGCATATGTTAGTTATTTTCACATTTTCGTGTTTTCTTATGAGTGTTAATATATCCTTTGCGTCAACTGGACTTAATGAACTGAAAATGAAATACAAAGTAAATTTGTTAATTCTTTTCCATAAGAACATTAAATTCAGTTAATATTGATAGAGATGACTTCTAAACCCAATTTCAAATGCTCAAATGCTTAATTTATATAATTTAAAATATGTACTTTATCTTATTCTATGTTAAAGCTACATATATTATATGCAAGCTCTTCACTACTTTTATTCCTAAAGTTTTTCATGGCTTTAAATATTCTAATCATAAGTCATTCACAAAATTCCAGTCTAAAATTGCTTATTAAAAAATTCTTCTGCCTACCTTATTCATCCTTTCACTCTCTTAGCAAAACAGTCTTAACTCCATACAGGTTGATTTAAAATCTTGACTTCAATAAATACAAACAGTGGAAACTGCTGTTTGGCAATTTTCAAGGAAGGGATCATTTTTCACATTTTTATGTAGCAATGACTGGTGAATAAATAATACAGCAAATTGCCTTATGTATTAACCTGGCAAGAAACCATCAATAGGCCTCTGACACTAAGAATAACAACTATAATAAAATATTTTGATGGAAAATATTCCAATACTTTACTTTGAATGCAATCTTGGTGACAAATGTAAACATGTTTTCCATCCACAGAAATCTCCAAGGGAACCTTCAACATTTTGCACCATGGCTTACAGTATTTTTTCCTAAATTTCCTATTTTCTTGATATTTTTATTCAAAGTTGCCACCATCACAAGGTGGCAAGATAAAATAGTAGACTGCTGTACTGGTGTACCATTTTAGCATTTATTTTTACATAAATAATGGCCAATCAACAGCTCATTCAGATACATTAAATGATAATCTAATAAATTAAAATGTGATTTTTAACATTTTGTCCTTCCTCTGACAATACTTTGAATGACTATGGGCTGCTGATATAAGCTACAATGTACAATTTACAGACTTGTACACCACCAAACCAAAAACCTAACTCGTTGCCATCAAGTTGATTTTTGACTCATAGCGACCCTATAGGATAGAGTAGAAGTGCTCCATAGGTTTCCAAGCAGCAGCTGGTAGATTCGAAATGCCAACTTTTTGGTCAGCAGCCGGGCTCTTAACCACTGCACCACAAGGGCTCCTGTATAGTACCATCCCTATATAAATATTAGACTTACATAGATATAAAGTAAGTAGTAACAGTTTTAATTTTTATAAATCCTTTGTTAGAAAGATAAAATTCAATCCAGGGCAAGAGAACCAGGGTGGTATTGTGATCTGCTGCGTATCCCCTACTTTGGTTAGGACAGGCAATGACAAGAGGTAGATAGTGGGTATGCCACCAGCAGCACTGGCTTTCTTCACCCCAGCCAGTGGCAAGCGGCTAGTTCTTCCTTTAGGAAGACAAAGATAAAACAACTTGACATCCCTAGTGGTTTTTCCCAAAGGAAGGGGGAAAAAAAAAGAAGCCAGTGGGAGATTATGTGGAAAATATAATTGTTTTTTCTCAAAATGTACATCGGGGGAATATTTTGAAGAAATACAGAAGTGAAAATATGGTACCTTACTCTGTTAATTAAGATATTAAAAAAAAAACTCTAACATCAAAGAATAATTCTTTTATTCTTTTTACTTACTGTAAATGATCTACTAGCTTGGCATTGCGCTTCCCAAAACACTGCTTTAACATGTGAAAAAATACATCATAGTTAATAGGTGTTAAGTTTTCTGTAAATAAATTTCTGCGAGGAGTCATTCGAATAAAACACAGATTTTGTTGTATTAGTTCTGATAATTCCTGGAGAAGGAAAAATACACTGTATTAGTCATAAACTATTGCCAGAGCAAGAGCTTGTCCACTCACTCATTTACTTCTTTACTTACTCATTTAAGCTGACTGGTGGAAGAGACAATCGCCACAGACCTTTAGGGCCCCTGTATGTTCTTGCTGTGTGTGTCAAGAATGCAAGACCCTGACCACTCTTTACCTGGGCCATTTCTCAGGGTTGCTTGCAGTGAGCAACCTTGAAGGATGAGATAAGGATACCTCCCCTTGGGACAATGAGCAAGACTGCTGAATGTGTGTTATAAAAGAGGTGGATTCCAACAGCTGTTTCTCTGTTGCAAGCCAAGCCCACTACATGCAGAGCATTCAACTGAGCTGTTATCACATCACCCCATGGGACTTGGGGGCAAAGGGAACCAACATAAATACTCTTAGCTGCTTGCTGTGCCATGAGTATAAAGTCTCTGACAGGCTAACTTATTGGCTTGTAAGCAAGTTGAAACCAAATCCCAAAAATGACACTAACACGTACTGAATCCCTGCTATTATTTGAGGCACATCATCAGATCCTAAGCATAAAAAAAAATTACTCACTTGTAATTTTTAATTGGATATTATTTTTTTAAAAAATCAGTAATTCTATAGTATAGGGGTTGGCAAACTACTATCTGTTGCCTACTTTTGTATAGCCTGTAAGCTTTACATTTTTAGGACTGTTTAAAAACAACAAGAAGAATATAAGACAGAATGTACGTGGCCCACAGGCATAAGATATTTACCATCTGACTCTTTACAGAAAAAGTCTGTCAACCCCCTATTCTAGTATACAGTATTATACAGACTAAAATAAATACTGTATATGACTGGATATAAAGTTAAGACGGTTTTTCCCAAAAATTATTCCTCAGAATGTTTGAATCCTTATGAAATCTCACATATTAGGTAGTAATCTCTTATTTACTTTATTTTGAAGCATAAAATACTGTTTTTGGAAGACATATTAGCCTGAAAAAAGAAAATCTCAATCACTTCGAGTTTGGGATGCTTACAGCTGAAGGAAAAAGGAAGGCAATACAATTCAGAAAGACTTAGTAAGTATTACTTCGGGGGTGGGGGGTGACCTCACAATTGCAAGTATTATATGGTGTTGTTAACAAGCCTTTTGAAGGTGACTTTAAAAAGCAACAAGGTGAGTAATTTTGGAGTCCAGGAGATACATTTACCTGATAAATGGGGAAGAAATACCAACTTTCCTGATGTTATATGAGTGACCATTTGCAATATGGGACAAAAATTCCAGTAACAGCATAAAAACACAGCTTCAGAAATAGTAGAATATCTCAAAAAAATTACATGGAAATAAAGATGGTAGGTTTTAAAAAACTGTTAATTGTCTCAAAGGGCTTCTATAGAAATTATGAACATACTATTATCAAAGACACATGTGCACATCTGAATAAAATTATCTCATGAAACATAACATTTGGTTATTTGATCTTCATCCCTATAAATTTATATATTTAAGTTGGCCAAAAACATTTTTAGTTTTTGATCTTCTCATTAAGAAAATGTGTTCCAATGACCATCCTGACAGGGAACACAACAGAGAGTCCCTCATGGAGCAGGAGAAAAGTGAGATGCAGAACTCAAATTCTAGTAAAAAGGCCAAACTTAACAGTCTGACTGAGACTGGAGGAACCCTAGAAGACATGGCCGCCAGACACTCTGTTAACCCAGAACTAAAACTATTCCTGAAGCCAACTCTTCAGACGAAGAATAGACTGGACTATAAGACGTAAAATGATACTCATGAAGAGTGTGCTTTTTAGTTCACGTAGATACACAAGACTAAATGGGCAGCTCCTGCCCGGAGCCAAGATGAGAAGGCAGAAAGGGATAGGAGCTGGTTGAATAGACACAGGAAATCCAGGGTGGAAAGGAGGAGGAATGTGCAGTCACATTATAGGGATAGCAGCTAGCGTCACATAACAAAGTGTGTATAAATTTTTGTGTGAGAAACTAACTTGGGCTGTAAACTTTCACCTAAAGCACAATTTAAAAAAAAAAAAGCCAAAAAACAAAAACAACAAAAGAAAATGTGTTCTATACAGGGTTGTTCATTTTGGGGACATCTGAATAAATCACTAATGGTATCCAAGCCAAAATGTTACCATTCTTATTTTGTTTTGCAAGACTATATAAGTTATGTTTATGAATCATGAAATAGAACTAAAATCACAATGATAACTAATCACTCTAAAATTAGACTATCTCCAAATTGATCATTTTCTTTCCCCTTTAGTATCAAGAGTAAGAAAAAAACAAAGTAGTAAACAAAGGGGCTAGTCAGACTGAGCTGGTATGCTGGTATTAGGCCATCATTACCATTTAATCCCAAAGCAGAACTTCTGAACTGAGTTAAAACTTTTTTTTTTTTTTTTTTAACTTCAGCTACTTTATTAGACTTTCAATACAAGCAGCTCTGAGACAAAGTTCACACAGGACCACTCTGTAACATCATCATTTTGGTTCTCTAAAAAGGGAAAAATAAAAATCCCACCTTTTGGGTAAGAACCAAGATGTACCTGTTGGTGAATTCAATCATATAAGTACTATAACATTATTACAAATTTCTCACTTATTAATAAGGTACAAACTTTTATTTTTAGTTTATTAAATTAGTTGAATGTTAAAATGACTATATTTTCCAAATTTGAGATGTATCTTCATTTCAAGAGATAAAAAGAAGATTCTCTGTTTAAGCCTATTACTGTATAATAGATGAAAAATACAACTCTCCTCTAAAATAATTTCAATGTATTAAAAGTAGTAAGATATATATCTTAATTGCTGTAAAAAAATATGTAACACACATTTGCCAAGACATTTTTACATGTGCAATTCAGTGACGCCAGTCATATTAATCATGTTGTGCAGCTATCACCAGTGTCTGAAAGTAGTTTAAGATATATTTAAAGAACATTCATTATTCTAAAATCCAAAATTTAAATGAGTACAGAATACCAGATGATCTTAAAAAAATAAAGGACATCCCACGCAGAGGAAGAAAAGGAAAGGTGTTCTTTTACTCTTACCCTGCGCTTTGTTTTTTCCAGCTGCCCATTTTGGGTGTGTAAGTCAAATGATGACCAAGGCTCCTTGAGGGGAGGAAAAAAACAAAATCGAAACATTTCTTTTACTCTCTTTGGTCAAAGTGTCCCCAAACTATTGCTGTTGTTGTTAGCTGCCATCAAGTTGGCTCTGACTCACAGAGACCTTACATATCACAGAAGGAAATGTCCAGTCCTGTGCCATCTTCATGATCATTGGCCAAATTATTACTGACTTAAAGAAAAATCTTGCCTAAACGAAAGCAGTGAATTAAATCCACGTATTCAGTCTAACTGGATTTAAGAGAAACAATGTGATGGTTAAATAATATACCTCTCTCTCTCTCTTTTTTTTTGATAAAGAAAATATGGATCAAAGGTCTATCCTGATATTAGTAACTCTATCTCTTATTTAGGGGTCCCTGGGTGGTGTAAACAGTTGACACACTTGGCTGCTAACAGAAAGGGTGGAGACTGGAGTCCACCCAGAGGCACCTCAAAAGAAAGGCCTGGTGATCTACTTCCAAAAAATCAGCCATGAAAACCCTATGGAGGCGCCTCTGTGTGGATGAGCACATTAACTGTTTGCACCACCCAGGGACTCCCATATTACCTATATACCTTATAAAACCACTTGATATATACTCTAATCTACCGAAATAGATAACAAAAGAAGGGAATGGGCAAGTTATGATATAAAAGAAATACATTCTTTTTTTTAATAATCTAGCCCTGTGCTCTCTAATATGGTACATGGTTGTCACTAGCCACACTTGCTATGTATCTAGTCTGAATTAATATGTGCTGTAATTTATGCGCTGAATTTAAAAGACTTAGTACAAACAACAAAAGAAGAATGTAAAATATGTCATAACTAATTTTTTATGATTACACATCAAAATGACAATATTTTGGATTGACTGGGTTAAATAAAATATAATATTAAAATTAATTTTACCTGTTGCTTTTTATCTTTTATAATGTGGCTACTAAAACATGTAAAACTACATACGTGGCTTGCATTATATTTACATTACACAACTCTTATCTTGCCTAAAGAAATAAACTAGGACACATACAAACTAATTGAAAGATGTTCACATTTTTTTAAATTTATTTTTTCCCATACAAAAGTTTATACATATATTGTTATGTGACTCTAATTGCTCTCCCCATACTGTGACAGCACACTTCTCCTTCCATCCTTGATTCCCCATGTCCATTCAACCAGCTTTTAATCCTCTCTGCCTTCCCATCTCACCTCCAGACAGAAGCTGCACGTTTAGTCTCTTGTATCTACTTGAGCTAAGAGGTACACTCCTCACGAGTATCACTTTATGTTCCACAGTCCAGTCCAATCCCTGTCTGAAGAGTTGGCCTCAGAAATTGCTTTAGCTCTGGGCTGATAGAGAATCTGGGGGCCATGCTTTCCAGGGTTCCTTCAGTCTCAGTCAGACCACTAAGTCTGGTCTTCTCACTAGAATTTGAGTTTTGCACCCCACCTTTCTCCTGCTCCATCCAGGATCCTCTGTTGTGTTCCTTGTCAGGGCGGTCACTGGTCGTAGCTGGGCATCATCTAGTTCTTCTGGTCTCAGGCTGTTGAAGTCTCTGGTTTATGTAGCCCTTTCTGTCCCTTGGGCTAATACTTTCCTGTGTCTTTGGTGTTCTTCTCTCCTTTGCTCCAGGTGGTTGGAACCAATTGATGCATCTTAGATGGCTGCTTGCAAGTTTTAAGACCCCAGATGCCACTCACCAAAGTAAGATGCAGAACATTTTCTTAATAAGCTTTGTTATGCCAATTGACCTAGATGTCCCCTGAAAGCATGGTCCCCAGACCCCTAGTCCTGCTACTCTGTCCCTCAAAGTGTTTGACTGTATTCAGGAAACTTCTTAGCTTTGGTTTAGACCAGTTGTGCTGACTTCCCCTGTAGTGTGTGCTGTCCTTCCCTTCACCTAAGATAATTCTTATCTACTATCTAGTTAGTAAATAACTCTACACTTTTTTTTTAAAAAAAAGCAATTAAAAAGAGAACTTCTCTACAGTGAAGTACTATGTAGACATTAAAAACTTAAGAAAAGCATTGAATGACATGACAAAAAGCTTGCAACTAATTATTAGGTGAAAAAACATGATACAATCTAATATAGACCCTACTATACGAAGGGAAAAAAAGACTGAAAATATGTTCACATGTCAACAGTTATCTCTGTAGGGTAGAAGTCTAGTGATGATTTTTTTTTAATTCTTATTTGTTTTTCCTTTCCTTCCTTCCTCCTTCCCCTCTCACTTCCTTCCTGTTTCATATTTTACAATAAGTGTATACTATCTGCGTAATCAGACAAAAAAAACTTACTAGCACACAGTCATCTCGAAGTATCATCTAATAATTATTGTTCAAATCTAAAAATTGTTGTTCAACAGTTGGGAAAATGATAAAATTAATCTATTCTTTCATCTTTTTCCATTTATAGGTCACGGAAATGGAGCCAATTTGAAAAACAATGACACTCTCTAAAATTCAGGAAGATTTTACTCACCATGTGCAGAAGCTTAATGTCACAAGCTACTTGCCAGAGCACACTTAACGCTTGATACAAGTTTGGATTTTTAGGTCTTGCCTTTAGTTTCTAAAAAAAGAAAAATCAGAGTTATATATCAAATATAATTCTAATCAATCAAAACCAGATGTTGGATCTCAATAGTAATAGCTTAATAGTATCCAGAAATTTAAGTAAACAAAATTAGATTTTAAGGAAAAATCTTAACCTTAACCATTTCAAGGAAGAGAAAAAATCCAATGTATTTGGGACTGACTTCCTTTAACCATATCACATATCAGGGGAAAAGCTCATCACTTAGTTACGAAGGTGAACAAAAACAGAAACAATTCCTGCCCTTGTGGTTTTTACAACATAGCGGAGTAGAAAAGCATTAACTAATTACATGAATTAACTTGTGATACGTTCTATGCAGAAGGACAGGTGTGTTAAAACATGTATCAGGTGAGCCCATTAAATTTTGAGTCAAGAGTTGCTTAGGCTGACACCTGATGGATGAGCAGTTACCTCCATGAGTGAGAGGACACTACAGAGAAAGGAAACCCCGTGTAAAAGGGCAAAAGCAGCATGGGCCATTGGAACATTTTCCTAAAAGCAAAACGAAACCTGATGAAACATTTCTTATTTGTCTCCTTCATCCTTTTATTCATATACTGCAAGAATAGTCTCAAGGTTCTGAGTGCCCTGTGCTCCTTCCAAGGCCAGTCACAATTTCTCACTATCTAGGTGTGGGTGGGTAAATAATTTCTTCCTTTCCTGCCCCACTATCCTAAGCCTTAGCTGTCTTAGGCAGAAATAATGATAAGCAGTTCCCGGGCAGAAAGGGAACGTGACTCTCAAGGCAATATCAAGGTCTTCAAGAGGCCCTTTCATTACAGAGAATAAAAACCAAAACCAAGCTAGCTGTGGTTCAGTTGATTCCAACTCATGGTTACACCATGTGTGTCTGAATGGAACTCTGCTCCACAAGATTTTCAATGGCTGATTTTTCGGAAGTAGATTGCCAGGCCTTTCTTCCAAGGTGCCTCTGGGGGGATGCAAACTGCCAACATTTTGGTTAGAAGCTGAGCACATTAACCGTTTGCACCACCCAGGGACTCAGAAAATAAAAAGACTGAAGATTGCTCTACAGAAATTTTAAAGCAATCTTACAATCTTAGTACTCTCAAATATCATGAGTCCTAAATTAAAGTCAAATAGATTAAGACTACTCAGAGAAAAATTATAGAACTCTTTCAAAACAAAAAACTTAGCAGGTACTTGTTAATAACCTACCTGGTATTCCTTTTCACTGATAAACATATTTAGTTCTACTCGTCCATATCTATATACAGAAGTACAGGAATATAGATCATATATAAGTTTCCAAAGGGCCTTTTTTTCACTTTTAATTGGGAAGATTCCAATTACTTTTAAAGGGATACCTGTTAAGAATACAAGCAAAAATATTTGAGTAAAGCTCTTCACCCTTTTCATATGGCCATGTTTTATTGCATCAAACTAAGTTAACAAACTATATTAATTTTAGTTTATTTCAATTAAAACTACATCTCAGTATCTTTCCTTGAAATGGAAGTTGGCTTTTGGGGAATTGCTCTCATTATTTCTGCTGAGGGGAGGGGAATGCCACTTTTAACCTAAGAGCATCTGCTCAAAAACTGTAAGATATACACTGAATATAAAGCTCTTCAACAAACCAGGTGTATTGACAAAGAAACCTGCCAACTCATAAGAAATTTGCTTTAGTGAGTAACAAAAATTACCTGCTGACCAAGGAACTGCTCGTATTCCCAAATTCTGGAAAAGCATCTGTGAAATCATAATGGGTGGTTTTACTAAACTACCATTTCTAGGATCCAATTTAAAGAAGTCGCAGTGGACCACGTCTAGTTGTCCATCCAGATTTTTTCCTAGGGACTAACGAGAAACAGAGATAGCATGTTAAGAAGTTTAAGCACTTTGCAGGTTTACCTTTCAACAATCAAAGATCTAGTTCAAAAATAGTTCTTATAAAAAAAATTACAACCTCAATAAAGCTGTAAAGATAATTTATTAATAACATATTGTAAAATTTGAGAAAATAAAATTCAATTAACAACTGAAAAGTGATGAAAGTACAGTAGCACCAAGAAAAAGTCCAAACAACAACAAAACAAACTTCAACAAATTCTTACTTATCCTTTTACTTTCTTTACTTTTTCTTAATAGTGTTACTTGTTCAAGAGCTTCCTCACACTCATTAATTGCTTACTAGTGGCTGCCTGGAGCACTGGTAAAAGATTCTACGGCCACATCTGGGCTCAAGCAGAAAGCTGTGAGTCATCGGCTACGGATCATGGGAAGAAGAAATGAAGATACTTCTTAACAGAGAAAAACATTAAAGTGAAAAGTAGATAGATTCAAGAGTTCCCCCCACCCCAGAGGGGTTTACTTAGTCATCTATCAAATGAAGTTAGCTTATTGTGTAGATCAGTCTTCCTTTTTCCCTAACTTTTTCATTTACCTTTTCTAAAGAAAGAGGGAACCATAGAAGGAAAGCATGTTGTCCACTGGAAGAGGTCGCCTATTCCTTAGTCTCTTTCTGTCCCGACTTGCTTAACTTGTAGTAGCACTGGAGCTGCTTAGCGGTTGGAACAAGTATTAGCTACAGACTTCCTAAACTTAATTTGAAGTTAGAAAATCAATGAGGACAGTATGTTTTTGATGTGTATGTGGAAGTTCTCATACACAGAAAATTCTATTTGTATTTAACTAGGTTTAAAACAAATTTACAATTTAAAGTTATCAATTAAAAAACCTAGTTTTACTCAAACTTTTGAATTCAACCATCAATACTGTCCTATTTCTAAATCTAGTAAATTTGAGTGATCACTGTCAAGGGAACCCTTGATTAATGCTTAATGAAATCAAGTTGAACACATTTTATATATATATATATATATATATATTTTCAATTGTGCTTCAAGTGAAAGTTAACAGTTTAAGTCAGTTTCTCATACAAAAATTTATACACACATTGCTATGTGACCCTAGCTGCTCTCCCTATAATGTGACAGCACACTCCTCCTTTCCACCCCTGATTTCCTGTGTCCATTCAAACAGCTCCTGACCCTCTCTGCCTTCCCATCTTGCCTCGGGACAGGAGCTGCCCATTTAGTCTCAAGTATCTACTTGAGCTAAGAAGTACTCTCTTCACAAGTATCATTTCATGTTCCATAGTCCAGTCTAATCTTTGTCTGAAGAGTTGGCTTTGGGAATGGTTTCAGTTCTGGGCTAAAAGAGAGTCTGGGGGCCATGTCTTCCAGGGTCCCTCCGGTCTCAGTCAGACCGTTAAATGTGGTCTTTTTAGTAGAATTTGAGTTCTGCACCCCACTTTTCTCCTGCTCCATCAGGGACTCTCTGTTGTGTTCAATGTGAACACATTTTAAAAAGCCCTTAAATAAGGCAGCTCCTTCCTGTCTGGCTGGGCCACATCTCTGCTCACTATTAAAAAAAATACTCCATTAGATTCTGCTTCTCTTTCATGTCTTCGGCTCTGCAGTCATTGAACTAGAGTTATGTTAATGATGTAAAGGGCAAAAATACCTGTATTTCACAGGTGAAATATAAAAAAAAATACTCAGACTCTCCTTGGAAACTCTTTTTTTTTTCCATGTAAACCTCAAAACAAAACAAAACAAACCGTTGCCATTGAGTCAAATTCCGACCCATAACCACCCTATATAGGACAGAAGAGAACAGCCCCTTAAGGGTTTCCAAGGCTGTAATGTTTATAGAAGCAGAATGCCACATCTTTCTCCCGTGGAGGGGCTGGTAGGTTCGAACGACCAACATTTTGGTTAGCAGCTGAGCACTTAACCAAGGCGACAATCATTAACATTCTAATCAACTAACTTCTCTGCTCTTTAAAAGCAATTCTAAAACACTACTTCTATAAAGACTTTTATTAAGCTTCAAAATACTCTGAATTACTACATTTTAACTTTCTTTTAATTTGGCAGTGTCATGGTTTGAATTATGTCCCCCAAAAAATGTGTGTATCAATTTGGCTAGGCCCTGATTCCTGGTACTGTGTGATTTCTCTGCGTGTTGTAAATCCTGCCTCTATGATGTTAATGAGGGAGGATGGGTGGCAGTTGTGTTAGTAAGGCAGGACCTGATCTACAAGACTGGATTGTGTCCTGAGGCAATCTCTTGAGTTATAAAAGACAGAAGTGAGCAGTGAGACAGGGGGACCTCATACCATCAAGAAAGCAGTGCCGGGAGCAGAGCGCGTCCTTTGGACTGGGGTCCCTGTGCCGAGAAGCTCCTAGTCCAGGGGAACATTGATGAGAAGGCCGACAGAGAGCTACTTTGACTGTGAGGAAATAAACTTCTCTTCGTTAAAACCATCCACTTGTGGTATTTCTGTTATGGCGTCACGAGATGACTAAGACAGGCAGTATGACTGAATTGGTCTTTTAAAAAATCAGAATTCTTAGGAAAGGAACTATGTATGTGCGTGCATGCACATACATACCCATATTATTCAAATTCTGGTTAGTGGACAATTAAAACATAATTATTCTTTACAAGTTAAACCGTAATATCAGGGTAAATATTACAGTTTATATTCTGAATGCCAAAAATTAAATACTATAGTGCTTAAACTTCAGGCCCCTTATTACAGAAGTATAATATTAATTTCAACCAAAAGCCCTCAAGGAAACAGAAAAGACTTGATAGTACCCCAGGCATAAACAGGAATCATAAAGCAATGGCTGGAGGCAAAGACTGTGTTATGAAACCCAGCTCTGCACAATTACCCACGTGATCTTGGGCATGTCTTTAAACCTCTCCAAGTCTCATTTTTTCACAGGGGTGTTATGAAGACTAGATTAAGTATCTGCATGTGATTTTAAAAGTAGACAGTACTAACAAGTACTAAATTATAGTATTTATGTTTCTGTATAATCTAGTTGATTTATATAATTTTATGGCTCTTTCATATTTATTTCTTGATTTCAAGCTTCCACTCATTTGTTCAGCAAATATTTACTGAGGGCCATTCTGTACCAGATACCCTCTGCGGGATGGAGATACAGAAGTGAACAAAACAGGCAAAGCTTCTGCTCTCCGACAGTGACAAGTGCCGTGATGACCATAAACCAGGTAACAGAACGCTTCAGATTGCAGAGTTGACCAGATTGTGTTTAGGATCCAAAAACAAGAAGCAAAAAGGAATAGAGGAAAGGAAAGAGAATAAACCTTGAGTTTCTACTAGTCATTCTGCTGGGCACTTTACATAGTTTACCCTATTTCAACCTCATCAACATCTTATACAGGTAGGTATTAACTTCCCTATTTTATAGGTGAGAAACACCAAGACTCAGAAGGTTAAATTACTTATTTGCCCAGGGTTTTAAGGCTAGTAAGTGCTAGGACTGAGATTTAAATTCAGTCTGATTTGAAAAGACTGTCCTCTATCCCTGCTGAAATATGGCATGTTCTACCATAAAAGCTGAATGTTTCTGCAACAATAACAGTCTTCACAATTCAAATGGGATTCATCACGGTTTATTAATTGTTGTTAGCTGCCGTCAAGTTGGCCCCTGACTCATGTCAACCCCATGTGTTACAGAGTAGAACTGCTCCATAGGGTTTTCTTGGCTGTAATCTTTACGAAGTAGACCGCCAGGCCTATCTTCTTCAGAGTCACTGGGTAGGTGAAATTGCCACCCTTTGGGTTAGCAGTCTGTCACGAAATGCTTGAGCCATCCAGCCTCCTTGATTTATTAATATGGAACACAACTTGCTACATGCTTTGCACCTCCAAGTTTGAAAAGAAGCTTTTTGTTCCCTTGAAACATTGTTACTTAAAGTCTCAGGAATTTTATGGGTGAGATACATGATATAGTTAGTTAAAAATCCAGTCAAACATCATCCTTAAAAATCCTCTCAATTTTTAGGAGGAAACTGAGTGCCATTAGGTGGCTAGAAGCATCATCTGCTGCTATGAGCCCTACTTTAAGATCTGGATGTAGGGCTGAAAAGGCATACAGATGAATTCAGAGAGGGTTAAAGGCTGGTTGAATGGACATGGGGAATCAGGGGTGGAAAGGAGGAGCGTGTTGTCACAGTACGGGGAGAGCAATTACAGTCACATAACAAAGTACGTATAAATTTTTGTATGGGAAAAAAATAAAAAAAAAGAAATATTGTGTCTAAAATTCTCTAGCTCTATATTCCTCTTTTTCTCATTAAATTTTAAATTAAGACTGTTGTGACCTTGAAGAAAAGCAACTTTTGTGTTACAGGATACACTTATTGCCGTTGATTCGGTTTCAACTCATTGTGACCCTACAGGACAGAGTAGAACTGCGCCATAGGGTTTCCAAGGCTGTAAATCTTTACGGAAGCAGATTACCACATCTTTCTCCCACGAAGCGGCTGGTGGGTTTGAACCACGGACCTTTAGGTTAGCAGCCAAGCGCTTAACCACTGTGTCACCAGGGCTCCTTGTGTTACAGGATAACAAACTAAATAGAAACACAGACATTTTAATACCATCCAATTATCTTATAAAATGCAAATTAGTGATTTCTAATCTAGGCCTTTTGGTATATCAAGATAAAAGTTATCTTCTTGCTTGTAATTTCCAAGTTGAAATTTCAAATGCCTATGCTTACTTTGGATATGTAATCAGGAGGGATCAGTCCCTGGAGAAGAACATCACTCTTAGTAAAGTAGAGGGTCAGCGAAAAAGACAACCCTCAATGAGATGGACTGACACAGTGGCCACAAACATGGGCTCAAGCATAACAACGATTCTGAGGATGGCAAAGGACTAGGCAGTGTTTTGTTCTGTTGCGCATAGGGTCGCTATAAGTCGGAACTGACTTGACGGCACCTAACAACAACAACCTGCTTACTAAAAAAGGCGCCCTGGAGGCACAGTGGTTAAGGGCTTGGCTGCTAACTGAAAGATCAGCGGTTCGAACCCACCTGGCAGCTCCATGGGAGAAAAGACCTGGTGATCTACTCCCATAAAGTTTACAGCTTAGTTCTACTCTGTCATAAAGGGTTATTATGAGTCAGAATCAATTGGACGGCACTAACGACAACATGCTTGCTAAAATGAGCCCTGGTGGCACAATGGTTAAGCGTTCGACTGCTAACTGAGAGGCTGGCAGTTTGAACCCATTCGGTGGCTCCTCAGAAGAAAGACCTGGTGATCTGCTGGAAAACCCTGTGGCAGGACTAGTCTGTCACATGGGGTCGCTGTGAGTTGAAAACTGACTTGACGGCACTGAACAACAACATGTTTACTAAATTACATCTCATGACCTTGAATCTAAAACAACTTTACGTATTCTTTTTCTCATGTTTTTAAAATTCTAGCAGACTTATCCTCAATTAAATTAAACCTTGACTTCTTTTCCAAGCAGTCAGCTGTGGAGTAACAATGATCTAAGACTCACAGTTTTACTAAAAAAAAATTAAAATACTTGGATTATATTTTCACAATTTTTTGTTGTCATCCTGTATTTTTATATAGTCATTTTATGGTTTCAAGAAGTTAGCATCCAGAAGCATAATTGTTTCACAAACTAAACTTAGAGATTTACAAAGGACGGAGGGAGAGAAAGAGAAAAAAAAAGAGGCTGGCCAATGACGTAAGGAAGTGACACTTTTCTACTGTTCTGTAATGAACCCTGGTGGCACAGTGGTTAAGTGCTCGGCTGCTAACCAAAAGGCTGGCAGTTCAAACTCACCAGCTGCTCTGCTGGAGAAAGATGTGGCAGTCTGCTTCCATAAAGATTACAGCCTTGGAAACCCTATAGGACAGCTCTAGTCTGTCCTATGAGTTCGAACCATAAAGTCACTTTAAGTCAGAAATGATTCGATGGCAACAGGCTTGGTTTAGTTATCTACTTTACTGTTCTGTGAACTTGTCTGCTCCATGTTGCTGCTGTTCTGTGCGTTGAGTCGATTCCAACTCATAGCGTCCCTACAGGACAGAACAGAACCGCCCCATAGGGTTTCCCAGGAGCGACTGGTGGATTTGAACTGCCGACCTTTTGGTTAGGAGCCAAGCTCTTTACCACTTTGCAACACTGTAACGACAGGGAACCGCCAGAAATTCAAGCTGGATTCGGAAGAGGATGTGAAACAAGGGATATCACTGCCGATGTCAGATGGATCCTGGCTGAAAACAGAGAATACCAGAAAAACTTTTACCTGTGTTTGATTGACATGGATCATAACAAATTATGGATAACATTTCAAAAAATGGGAGCTCTAGACACACTTAATTGTACTCATGAGGAACCTGCACACAGATCAAGAACAGAACAAGGGGATACTATGTGGTTTAAAGTTAGGAAAAGTGTGTGTCGGGGTTGTATCCTTTTACCATACTCATTCAATCTGTATGCCGAGCAAATAATCCAAGAAGCTGGACTGTATGAAGAACACGGCATCAGGATTGGAGGAAGGTTCATTAACAACCTGCAATATGCAGACAATATAACCTTGCTTGCTGAAAGTGAAGAGGACTTGAAGCACTTACTGATAAAGAACAAAAGCCTTCAGTATGGATTACATTTCAACATAAAGAAAACAAAAATCCTCACAACTGGACCAATAAGCAATATCATGATAAATGGAGAAAAGATTGAAGTTGTCAAGGATTTCATTTTATTTGGATCCACAATTAATATCCATGGAAGCAGCAGTCAAGAAATCAAGCGATGCATTGCATTGGGCAAACCTGCTGCAAAGGATCTCTGTAAAGTGCTAAAAAGCAAAGATGTCACTTTAAGGACTAAGGTGTGCCTGACCCAAGCCATGGTGTTTTCAAGTGCCTCATATGTATGTCAAAGCTGGACAATGAGTAAGAAAGACCGAAGAAGAACTGATGCCTTTGAACTATGGTGTTGGCAAAGCATATTGAACATACCACGGACTTCCAGAAGAATGAACAGATCTGTCTTGGAAGAAGTACAGCCAGAATGCTCCTTACAAGCAAGGATGGGGAGACTTTGTCTCACATACATTGGGCAGGTTATCAGGAGGGACCAGTCCCTGGAGAAGGATAACATGCTTGGTAAAGCAGAGTATCAGCAAAAAGAAGAAGATCCTTGATGACATGGACTGACACAGTGGCTGCAACAATGGGCTCAAGCATAACAATGATTGTGAGGATGGCGCAGGATAGGGCAGTGTTTTCTTCTGTTGTACATAGAGTCACTATGAGTCAGAACCGACTGGATGGCACCTAACAACATTAATCTAATTTCAGCAATTAGATTCTAAGCTCACAGAAGGCAAGGGACCAGTAAAGGACACTGAGATGAGCAAACAAGGCTAGAGATACCAGTTATATGCTTTGTTCAAAGTCACCCAACTAGGATTGCAGCAGAGCTAAAACTACAAGGCAAACCTCAGAACTCTCAATCTTTTAGTCATTCATTCAATAAGGACTGAATGTCTACTCTGTTCTAGTCCCTAGGGGTAACAAGGAAATCATCTCTAAAAGAGGATCTATAAAAATAAACCATGTGCTTAGTTTAATTAAACCTACTAAATCCTAAACCACTCAAAGGTAGTGACTGAATAATCAATTATTCTTAGAAAACAATTATTAAAAAAAATAAAAATATACCTCCAAATGCGGAATAAAAGTTTTGTCACTTTCAAGGGCAATCACTCTGGCACCAGTTTCAAGTAATGCCTGGGTCAGGATTCCAGGACCTAGTATGTTAACAGAAAGAAAAGTATGTTTATAAGAAAAACAATTCAACCTCTCTCACCAATAATACTTATATCAAACTTTTACTGGATGTTTTACGTGTGTTACCTAATTTCAAGTCTCACAATATCTCCGAAGTGTTACTCTCCTTACGGAGGTTGGATAGGATTACTAGCCTCCAACATCAAAACTGTTAAGGGGTGCAGCTTGGATTTGAATCAATTCTGCCAATGACGCCAAAACCTGTACCCTTATCACAATGTTCCACTACCTCTCTGAAGAAAAAAACAAACAGATAAGGTTCTAACCTCCCACTTACTAATGGGCTATCCGGATGCTTTAATCATCAGACACTGTCAAATCCAAACAGAACTGACAACCCATGATATGAAACGTCTCTTTAGAAAGTCATTATTCAAAAACGCTGTAAATCTTGTGTTCTCAGTATCCTCTATAGGAGATGCACAGAAAGAGTAAGATAAAATTCTTTTTTTTTTTTTTTTCCGGACTTACACCTCTTTTAGGGAGACGATGAGATTTAAGATCTTGTTTTATATCAAAATATTGTGTAAAGTTAAAATTGCTACAGAAATATTGCGGAGTCATTATTAACACAGACCATACGCCACGTGTCGTGGGCACTCTCTCCAAGTAAGCTGCTTAAAGGGCAGTGTCTTAGGCAGCGCCTCCTGGGTGATCAATGAAAGTATACAGAAGTAACTGACTTCCAAGAAAATGCAATCCACGCTGAACTCACCTGGATTGCACTCCAGGACTAGCTGGGGAGTTTTTCGTTTCCCCTGCAAGATCTGCGCCAAGGTTTCAGCCAATCTCCGACTGATTACGTAACGTTTGTAGTCTAAACGACACTTAGAGACGCACGAGGACGATTCCCTGATATCTGGACAGGGCAACGGCTGAGGGCGGGAGTCAGAGAAGCCCCTGCGAAGGACCTCCGGCAAGTCCTTCCGCGTCGCCACTCCGGATCCCAAAATGGAAAAGCGACCAGCGCCGGTCAACACTGAGAGAGTCAGCCGCGCAGGAAGCCCCGCCACTGTAACCCACATCCTTGCCCTCTAAGGTCCGTCCCAAAGATCACCCAGGGTTGCTACTTCGGCGAACCCCGTGCAGGGCACCCCCCGTGTAACATTTCCCCTCAGCCACACTAGGGAGGGAGGAAGTATACACCAAAAATGCGCATGCGAAAGAGCAATCTTTCTCGCCGTTTTCCCTTACTTCCGCTTCCGTCCCAACTCGGCCGCCAAAGGATTGTGAGTGGCCTGACGAGAAGAGAGGCCGACCAGCCAGGTTGTGTCCGCCCTCTGCGTTTCCTCTCTAGCCGCTCGCACTCTATGCTCCGCGGTCGCGGGCCGTCTGTAGCCGGCCGGCCGGTAAGGGTGTGCAGAGGAAGGCGGGGCGGGAAGGCAAGAGGTGTCTCCTCCACCAGAGCCCCGGGAGACCCGAGCAAGCTCTGTGACAGTTCGTCGGCCGCCATGTCAGCGAGCGGGGCAGGAAACAGACCCGGGGTACAACGGTAGTCTTCCTTTCGTCTCCGACTCCCAGGTGAGGAGAGGAGGAGAGGGATGCAGGGGACCCGCCGGCTCGCGGCCGAGGTGGATAGCCTTTCGGAAGCCCCTCGCTCCTACCCCTGCGCTTTCCTCCTCCAGCAGCGCCTCCTCTGTCCTCCTGTGCCTCTGTCCTCGGTGAGGTGTAGCCCCCGTGCCTTTACCTCCGCCCCCTCTCCGATCTCCTGTTTTCCTCTCTTTTCTCTAGCCACAGCGGCTCTCCTGTTCCTGCGCATCTTTCCAATTTCTCCCTCGCTAGGTGACTAGCGCCAGAAGTCGTTCTTCGCCCGCCTCCTCGAGGAGCGTGCGACTTCCACTATGCCTCTACTGTATTCCTTTCTATCCCGTTACCCCCATCTCTCCACCCTTGTGGTTGCTTTTTATTTTTCCCATACCTTTTTTTCCTCCTCAGTTTGGTTGTCAAGAACCGCGTAATGTCTCTTTTCCTTTCGTCTCTCTCTCAGCCAATATTTAGCTTCATCTGTGTGTTTAAAAGATTTCTTTCTAAGCTGGAAAAAATTAAAACCGTAGGATGCAAATTTTGTTCCTTGCATAAACTTAGTCAAACAAATTGTAGTGTGGAATGCATTTGGCTAAAAATAGGATGCTCTGGTGGAAATTCTGGCAGTCTTTTTACTTATTTGGGCAATGTAAGAAGACCCGATTCTTTAAGGTTGATTTCAGTATTTAAGGATCATACTCAGAAAGAGCTGTACCAATTAGTATCCACCAAAAAACTGCAGCCAGTCAACTCCCTATTTTAAAATATGCACAATCCTTTCTGCTTACTCTGCTGGGAGTGTAATTGAGTCTGGCATTTAAATGCACAAGGAAAAGGCTTCTCAGGAATGTATCACCTAACAAATAAAAGTCTGAAAATTCTTCTCAGCTGATGAACTTCAAATTGAATGAATTGATGTCCAAGTACGGCCTTTCTGGATTATAAACTTGTCAGGACACTCTAGAAAGTTTCTAATCATTTTTTGAATATTTTTGTATTATGCCAACTGTTGTGGAAGTCCTGGTGACTCATTGGTCTTAATTTCTTTTTTCCTATACAGTTTCCTCATTGACAATTTTCTAGAACTGACTTTTGCATCGTCTGAACACCCGAGAAGGCGTTTTTCCCTATCCTTTACTGAGCTGTTCCTCCCTTTGCTCTTAAAAATTTTTTAATAGATTCAATAGTATATAAAAAATATACTGGATTTCCCCCAAGAGCCCTGTGGTCCTAAATATTTTAAAATTAAATCAAGAGAATGCTGTCTTAGGGTAGATGAAGAACATGATTTACTCACAGAAGTTTGTCATTGAATTTCTCACTTTGAAAATATACTTTAATATATGCTTTCTTATTTCATAACATCTGTGGACCAAAAGTAGCGTAGTCAGCCCTAGAGAAACTGACATAATTTTTTATTTTGCTTCTGAGTAGTAATTGTCATTTTCTTTTGGTTTTGGTAAAGAGAATTAGCTTATAATGATTGTTTTCCTTTTTATGGTGTTAATGGCTCATTTGTTTGTGGTTGAAGTTGGTTGAATAATAAAGAGACAAAACCTTACACTTTCTTTTTCTGAGGCCCCAGGTGCTGGAAATGAAATGTCCATTTCCCATTAAGGTGAACCTTACAATCAGAATTAGAAAAACTTGGTTTATGTATTTCCCACTTCATTTTCTTAAAAGGTGTGGTTTTGCATCCGATGCTATTTTTGCCCTTTTGAAGTAAAATAATCTTTCTTTAAATTCGTGCCAGGACAGAATGATTCTGCTGATATTTTTACAATCTTCTTCTTAAGTTATTTCAACTAAATTGGTATTGAAGGGAAAATACTGCTTTTCCCCTTTGGCTCTCAAATGACAGCTGTAATTGGGAAATACCCAGTGATAGTTCTTGCTTGCTGATCAGAATTGGGCTGTAGGTCTGTAGCAACACCATCCAATAGAAATATAATGTAAGCCACATTAACAAAGTAAAAAGAAACAGGTGAAATTAATGTTGATTATGTATTTTATTTAATCTAATACATATCATGTCAACATGTCATCAGTATAAAAAATGAGATATTTTACATTCTTTTTTTCATACTAAGTCTTTGAAACCTGGTGTGTATTTTACACTTACAACACATCTCAATCCAAACTAGCTGTATTTCAAGTGTGCAATAGCCACATGTAGCTAATGAGTAGCTAAGGGTATCTCATTGGTCAGCATCTATCTATGGGATTGTAACGTGATGGTTTCCTACCCTGCAAGTCTGATATGTGGGGTAAATTCAAAAATCGTTTTCCTGAAGTGCTGCAGTATTGAAACTGAAAAGTTCCTCTGCAGGAAGAGAGTTCCAAGAAGTCTCTTCCTCTTTGCGTGACTGTGTTCACGCTGAGGAGGATAAACAGGTGCCCAGTGCTTGTTTAGTGACGGGTCATAAGATGAGTCCAGTGCTCAGTCATTTCCTGGGGTGTCATTGTTTCAGTTATTTACATCTGCGTGTCAATAGTGCGTCAAGTCATTGTGTGAGTCTTTGTCAATTAAATCTAATGGCAAGAAGACTGGACTTTATTGCCAACAGGTAGAGTACCTGCTGTTATATAGTTATGTTCTTAATTGGTTTCTGGTATAGCTAAGAGTTTTGTAATGTGCTTCTCTATAGCATAATGTTTTTTATAAAGGGAAAGACCAAATGTTTTAAGCAAAACTTGGAAAGTAAGAGGGCATATTTTATGGCTCTAAAACACTGGGAGCCTCAGTAGTATCAGAAGAATGATACTTGATTTTGGTGGTTTGGAGCCCTGCTGGTGCAGTGGTTAAGAGGTATGGCTGCTAACCAAAAGGTCGGCAGTTTGAATCCACCGGCGGCTCCTTGGAAGCTCCTTGGAAACCCTGTGAGGCAGTTCTGCTGTGTCCTATAGGGTCACTATGAGTTGGAATTGACTCGATGGCAATGGATTTGGTTTGGTTTGGTTTATGGTGATTTGGAAGCCCTGGTAGTGCAGTGGTTAAGAGCTTGGCTGCTAACCAAAAGGTTGGCAGTTCAAATCCACCAGCTGCTCCTTAGAAAACCTATGGGGCAGTTCTACTCTGTCCTGTAGGATCACTGTGAGTCAGAATCCACTTGATGCCAACGGGTATGTGGTTTAGGGGATTCGACTCGACGGCACACAACAACAACAGCAAAAGGAAATATGACAGTTTTTGTATAAAAAGTCTGGCATTATGTTTAGGTATATGTTTTAGGTTTTTGCAACAGAGGTGGTGATTTGTATGGAACCATCTCTTATTCAGAGCTGATATAACTTTTCGCATGTATTGGGAAGATAACCCTTAAGCCAACTGACCTTAGTGTGGATCAGACTCACCATTGTTCTTTATCTTGACCCTTGTGATTTAATAAGTTTCCCTAAATACTACTTTGTCCCTGGGTGGTACAAACAGTTAACATGCTCAGCTGCTAACCAAGAGGTTAGAGGTTTGAGTCCATCCAGAGGTGCCTCAGAAGAAAGACTGGGCAATCTACTTCTGAAAAATCAGCCATTGAAAACCCTATGGGGCACACTTCTGCTCTGGCACACATGGGGTCACCATGAGTTAAGGTTGACTTGACGACACTGGTTTTTAAATACTATTTTGGCTCCAGTGTGTTATATCTACCAAAAAAAAAAAAAAAACCCCGTTGCTGTCAAGTTGATTCCAACTCATAGCAACCCTACAGGACAAAGTAGAACTGCCGCATAGGGTTTCTAAGGGGTGGTTGGTGGATTTGAACTGCTGATCTTTTGGTTAGCAGCCCTAGCTCTTACTGTGCCACTAGGGCTCCGTAAAAAATATCCAGTGAAATTTAATACAAAAAACATGTCCCCTCCCCAACCTTTATGGTATAAAGAAATTTTAAATTACTCGGTTAGTAAACAAACTCACTCTGTAAAATCTGGTCACTATAATTATGGTACAGCATAAACAGTGTGTGGAGTATTAGAAGATCAAAGACAGAATGAGAGGGTAGTTAATGGATGCTGCTTGTTTCCTGAGTGATGTATGCATTTTGTATAGGAAAATATAGTATTTTCATTTGTATTTAAATGTAGATTGCTCTCCATTTGGCACCATTTTGGTTGGATAAGAAAGAAAATAAACTGGTTTCACTGAAGCCATTCCCAGAGATCACCTTTCAGCGAAGTAATAGACAGGGCTATAAATAAACGATAGCACATGTGAGAAAAATTTTTCTTAGAACAATCATCTGTATGAGGCCAAAAGGACAACATATGCCCAAAAACAAAGATGAGAAGGCAGGAAGGGGCATTGTCTTAGGCTGGGTTCTCTAGAGAAGCAAACCCAGTAAAGCGTATAAATATATAGAAAGAAATTTATATCAAGGAAATGGCCCACACAGTTGTAGAGGCTGGAATGTCCCAAGTCCGTGGGGTCAGGATAGAGGCTCTCCTGATACACCTAGAGACAGGAGCTGGTGAACCCAAGGTCGGCAGGTCGGAGAGCAGGGTTCTAGCTCACAGGCTGTGAATATTGACAAATCCCAAAGATCAGCAGGCAGGACTGCAGGTAAGCTGCTAACTCAAGTCCCAAGAACAGGAGGTCAGGTGAACAGGAACAAGCTGCAGGATCCAGAATGAGCAAAAGCCCACAAGCCTTGCCAGAATATCCACGTATATTCAACGTAGGCCGCACGCCCAAGGAAACTCCCTTTCAACTGACTGGCTACTTACAGCAGATCCCATCATGGAGGTGATCACATAATATCAAATATCATCATGGAAGTGATCACACCATCATACAACTATCAAACCACTAAGAATCATGGCTCAGCCAAGTTGACATACAACCTTAACCATCACAGGCAGGAAAACCAAATGAATGGAAATGGGGAACTCAGTGGTAATGAGGAGAGTGCTGACACATTGTAGGGATTGAAACCAATGTCATGGAACAATTTGTGTATAAATCATTGAACGGAAAACTAATTTGTAAACCTTCACCTACGGCA